AAAACCAAGCTGATCTGATTTGCTGCTCAAGTAATCCTTGGACCTTCTTAGGCGTACAGCATTTCTTCCGGAAAGCCTTCTGTGTGGGTAATAAACATGTTCATGTCTGTTTAGTGGGAGTAGTGCTGATTTCAATATTGGAAACAAGTTTTTGGTAAAAAGGGGATTTTTATGGGGATGACTACAATAGTTGACACAGCAGGCTGTCGGTCTAGGTAATCACTACCATTAGAGGGCTCTCGGTTTGGTTTAGCTTGCTAACATACTTTTGTCACCTGGGCTGTGCTGACTGGATACATTTGCTGAGCCCTTCCAGTTATCACAGATACACTCAACTAGGTTGGAATTTTTGATAGCCACTTCAGAACAAAGCACTAATCCTGCTCGTAATGTATCAGCCCAGACCTGAGGTCTCTGAAAAGTTTGAATACTAGCACAAGCTGTGACTGAAACGAAGACTCTGATGAATGACTCTTAGCCTGTACCTTTGGTCCCTGTCCCTACCAGACATTACCCCCATTCTGTACAATACTCACAGGAAATGGTAATAGCCTGTGCACTGTGGGGGCCTATAGATTACCCATGTGGAGGAAAGCTTTGTGGAATATGAAAGCCAATGCTCTCAAAGCAGATGGGTCCAGATGACTGAATAGAATGTGCCACTTGGTCAAAATAGGTTTGGTCCTCAGACTTAGAGCTGAAGTTTGAAACCCATATATCAGACCTACTTAGAGAAACGTTATCCCTAAAGCACCCATAGTACCTGCACAGTGTGGCCAAGGGATGAATTCAAACATAACGTAAGCCTAGTATCTTAAACCCTTTAAAAGTAGCTATGGTAGCCAGAGGAGATCCTGGTCCTGCTGATAGCAGGTCTGGGACTGGAGGAGGAAACAAGCAGGTTAGCTAGGATTCCCCATCCCAGTTACATCTAGTAATTGCCCGAACAGGAAGACAGAAACAGGTCCATGGTGTGACCCAAACTTTACTAAACTCCAAACTTTACTAAACTTGGAACTCCAACCTTTATTAAAATGATTTATATTGCCACAACAAAACAAGATAGAAAGTTGTTAATTGCCCTTTATATCTCTACAACCTGCCTTGTAAATTAACTTCTAATATTTGCTGAAATTGGCAAAACTCTGTGTTCTTAAGATAGCTTTATCTGAGAATTCTCCTGAATTTAAATAGGGTGCCCTGTAATCTTAAGGCAGCTCTACTGAGAACATTTCAGGAGACGTAAGGAAGACAACTATGTATGTCTCATTTTAGTCAACAAACATACAGCCTTGGCTAAATTCCCTATCACCCAGATTACCCATTACCCTGACTGTCCCACAGTGGGCATGGACATGTTGACCAAATGAGTAATAAAGTTGAATTAAGTCTTGGATTCTAAGCAGCTGCCTTGCCAAAATAGGACTGCATGGGCTTCCCCATCCTCCTGTTAAGTAAAATGGTTAATATGGCCCAGTTTAAATGAAAAGAAGGCCTTTGAGGTTTGAAACCCATATAGCAGACCTACTTAGAGAAGAGTTATTATCCCCAAAGCTTCACCAACTAATAGCTCAATTTAGACTGTTCCTAAACCCACACATAACAAATGGCTCCTCACAGTGCATTGTTGTAATTTTAATGCTGGGGGCACACCTATTGAGGCTACCATGCTAATTATTTCTGAAATTACTAACTCTGCCTGACCAACAACTGCTAAATACTTTGCAGTTGCAGATCGGAAAAAAGGAGTTAAGTTTCTGTGCCTATTTTAACAGGCTGGGCCAGTTGGCCTTCACCTTCACTGGACACAACACTCTTTTATTGGGCTACCTGTTGGGAGGGCACCTCAATGGCTGTGCCCTCACTCAGTCTTTGTATACAGATCTTAAGCACACCCATCTTTCTTCAGGAGCACAGTGATGATATCACACTGATCATATCCCTCTCCAAACTATCCATGTGACACCTCCAATAAGGGCATGCAAATAAATCTTCAGCAAAAAAAATCTCATCAAGGAAGATGGATCATTGACTCACATGGTAAAAATTCTTGACACATTGGTTAATTTCTAGAATGTCTAACTTCTGAAGACAAAATATTTCTCACTTTGAGTTTTACTGAAGCCTTTCTATCTAGTGACTCACAAATGTGCCCACCTTAACTGGACTTCTGTGCAACAGAAGGCTCTATAATTGTAATACAGTCTTATATGGCAATGCTTTGGAAATCTCTCATGCCTCCTGAAGTCTATGGACCAGATTGGATAGCTGTAAGTTACCTCTTTACATCTGATGTCTCTTTAGCTCCTGCTATCTGACATTAGGATACAATTACTGGCTACACACTCAGCTATTTTAGAAGTAGGTTGGATGTCATGGGATTTGAGCCTGAGACTCTCCACATTTAGCTGCCTGTTAAACTTTGGGTCATGGAAACAGCATCATGAAAACTTAGTGAGGGCTCTTTATTATACCATAGAGCCATATGGCGTAGCCCATCTGTTGTAGAAGGTTTCCCCTAGTCCTTGCTGATACTTCGGTACTGGTGAAAGTTGCTGCATTCCCAGACACTTGGGTAAGTGGACTAGTCCTAGGGTCAACTGATTAACAACAAAGTGTGTTTATACACTTCACAAATGTTGTACCACCATGATAGGCAAAGAAGCTTGTTGGAAAACTGTCAGTGTGTAGGCCTGAGCTGCGCTGTCCCTGATCATGGGGAAGGACCCAGGAGTAGGCACAAGTAGCCAAACTTCATGTGGTCCTTTAAGCATTGCATATCCTTGCCTACAATCAGCCCCATTTGCCCAGAACCATTATACTCCTGGACCACAGCCAGCAACCTGCTTATCTGTCCCTACCAATGGCAGCAAACAGGTCCCTTCCCAAGATGGCCTCTTTGGTGAAATAACACTGAATTGCTTTCCATAATATAAATCAACATTAGCCACACCCATACTAAATCTATGCAAATGTGTTTCTCACTCCATCCAGCATTCCAGGCATGGCGACTAGTGAGCATGCCTCTTGGGAAAGGACTTACTAGGACTTCCACTTCCTCCCAGATACATGCTTCAGATCTGATAGACAGCCATGAATGCTACTCAAGCAATTTCAAATTCCATTTAAGAAAACAGTTCATGTTCCAGCGGTCCAGTGTCAGGAGTGGGTTGCAATGAAGGTCCTAAATCCACCTTGGATATTAACTGCAGAAAGCTTATAAGCCCTGTGGCCCTCTTACCCTCTTCAGACTCACATCTGGGCAAACTGCCAAGACAGCTAGCTTCCTCCCATCTTGGATACCAGAGAAGACTATATAAGCCCCATACAACATATGGGACCAAGTCTAGTCCCACTCTACACCCCCCATTACCACCACTGTATAAAAGCCAAGGCAGCTGAACAAGGAGGATTCCAACGGTCATGCCAAACTGGATGGATTGAGGCCATGAGGCCTCAACTCTACACAAGAAAGTACAGTAAGTAAGTAAAGCTGGGGAGCAGGATACATGCATGCTTGCAATAACACTTGATGGAAAAAGAGGCCATGAATTTGAAGGTGAACAAGGAAGGATATTCAGGAGGGATTGGAGAGAGAAAGGGGAAGAGAGAGACACTGTAATTAAAATACAAGCACAAAAATAAACAAACAAGTTGAGCTACCCTTCTTTCCTGTCCTCTCAAGCTATTGGGAGCCCCCTCGGGTCCTTCTGAAAAGGCTCATTATATGAGCAAGACATCGTTTCATATCCTGTAATGTGTCTATTTTGCAACCAGCCTCAATATTATTGGTGTGGGGGTGTACCTCCCTGCTTCAGAGTGACAACAAAGCTTTAGAGTTGAATATTGAAAATGACTTCATAATCTGATATATGAGAATGTGGTAAGTTTAATTTTAGAGCAGCCACATGGAATGGCATCCAATATTAAAACTTAAAAATACTAAATCTATAAATCTCTTAAGCCTCGGGATGTGAAAGTTGTTTGACATACTTAATGATTCTGTAAAGACATTAGGAATAAAGTTAAATAACATGGCTCAAGGGATACAGATGGGTGGGGTACACATATCATTTCACCTGATCCAGGACTTAGAGGCTAGATCCAGGAGAGCAAACTTACACTAATTGATACATTTGAAGAAAGGTCATAGAATGAGGAATGGATGTACCTGAGCCATTCAGAGACAGTAATTGTTAGTGAAATGAAGGTGCAAAAAAAAAAAAAAAATCAAGCAAAACCATTTTACGCTGGTGACAATAGCCATGGGTACATTTTTTTTTCTCATCAATGAATTCCAGTCATTTAGTATGTATGAGGACTAGTCTTAAATATCCTATAATGTTTTGCACAAATAAAACTGAACCCAAACTGAACAGCATAGGCAGCCTGTCTGAATGTAATACAGACTATATAAATAAAAAGTCAGAAGCAATACAGAGTTTGATGGGGGAGTAACTCCCCAGAGAAACAAACTGCAAAAAGGAACTTAACTTTTATTCTAGGAGATACTGTCTTCTGTGAGTTCAACATCATTTGCAACCGGGTCCCAAATTTGTATTTTTCATGTCTTAACCTTTTTCTCATTGGATTGGTGTATATCCAACTGCCTTTTTATTTTGCCAGTTTTATAGCCTTGGGAGCCTCAGACTGAATGTGCTCAGTGATGACTTCAGCTCTGCCACATCTGATGCCCATTCCTGACTCCACTGATGGAGCACTAGCAGCCATTTAGGCTGCTGAGCCTGGAAGTTTGGAGCCTTCTCTAATCATTCAGTACTTCTTCCTTCCACCTTCCATGACTCAATCATAAAACCCCCATTTGTAAGCCGGGCGGTGGTGGCACACGCCTTTAATCCCAGCACTCGGGAGGCTGAGGCAGGCAGATCTTTGTGAGTTTGAGGCCAGCCTGGGCTACCAAGTGAGTTCCAGGAAAGGCACAAAGCTACACAGAGAAACCCTGTCTCGAAAAACCAAAACCAAAACCAAAAAAAAAAAAAAAAGAAAAAAAGGCTCCATATTGATTTTCTGGGGATGATTTTATTAAAAAAGGCTTTTATCTGGCCTCATCTGGTCTTCTGACTTCTGACTCATGATGTAACTTCTTGCCCCATGTAAGCACCCACCACTGTTATTCATACCTTTCTAAACACCCAATGGTTTCTGACTGACTTGAGGGCTTTGAAATTCCAAACTGTGAGTTAAATAAATGTCTTCATATGCAGCTTGGGTTGCATATTTTTATAATGCAAAGCTAATTCATCATTATACATTAAACTAGCAACTGAATATATTTTTTCACACCATTTACTCTTTCCTTTTTCCCCAGGACAACCAAACGGTCAGCAGCTGTTGTTTCATCCCTCAGAACACTACTGTAGCTTCCTAGGTTAGATTTTTTGGCTTCCAATCTAGCATCCCACATATACCTCTTCCCACCCCAAGACAAGCCTCGACCTCACACTAGAGAGAAACTCTAAAATGAAAGTGCTCATAAGTAATGTGCAGAACCTTTAAATGGCCTTTCCTTGCTCCTGGTAATGAACATATTTCTTAAGACCTTTAAATACCAGTGGGGTTTGGTTCTTTTCTATCCTTTTATATTCATCTCCCCACCACTCCCCTCTCTCCAGCTCCATCTACTCATCTAAATTGTTTTTGTTGTTGTTGTGTGTTTTTTGTTTGTTTTATTTGCTTACCCCAGACATATTTTTGCACATGCTTTTCTTACTATTGGAAACATCTTTCTTTTTATTGACATCATTGGCTTATGGCCTATCTCCTCTGGGCATCCTAGAATGCTTTACGGACCCTGCATTACTGTTTGTGTGAGGTGTACACAACTCACTTCTTATTTCCTCCACTAACAATTACATGTTGCAGTGTGCCCCTCCTATTACCCTTCTTCACATCCACAACGAATGTCATGAGATGCAGAGCAACATTTAATTCACTGCTACATCTAGTACAGTGCCCAAAACACAGATTGTAGTAAAGTTGTTTCTGAATAATGGAAGGGTAGAGGGGTCAGCTTCGTGCCTATATTGAGGTTTATATGAAGACTCTGGGTCACAATTGATATCAACTGACTTTGTTACCTCCTGTCCCTGCCGCCAGCTGTCTCCCTGAATTCAAAGTCCAACCACAACACATGATGGCCTATGGTTCAAAGTGGGAGGAATGGGTCTCTCTGATTTGTTTCCCTTTGGAGGATCATCTCAACTATGAAGTAAGTGGAAGTCATCTTCCTTCTGGATTCACCCATTCTTTGTCTTGATGCAAAGTCACAAGGAAAGAGAAAGATGCTCAAGAATGCATTTTCAATAGTGCGGTCTGTAAGCTGTGTTACTAAAGCTGTTGCAAGCCAAAGAGATACAATTAGATACATGGCCTCTTGAATTTCCTCTCATCCTAGAGAGGAAAAGGAGTTACCTATCATCTGTGTCCAGATCCTCCTCCTAATTTATGGCTTCCTTTGATAAAATTAGCTGTTCTCTAGAGCATGTTGCTTTCTCTCTACTGATAACTGTATTACATTACAAAAGATCTTTTCTTTTTTAACATTAATTATTTTTTATGCACCAGACTATAGGGACTTTTGCAGCTGTGATCTCCAAAGGAACCAGCTTCCTTATTCCAGGTCATCCATGGAGAGGGAGGGAATCAGGACCTTGAGAACAAGGATTATGAGGAGGAAAGCTTGAGGCCAGGCCTGGCATGTCTGGTCAGTACTAAGATCAGCGTCAGCTCAGTTACTCAATGGTCATGCCAGTTTCTAAGACCTGGCTTAGAATTTGCCCTCTGTCCCAGAGCTGAGCCAGAGTTAAATCACATAGATCTCTATGCCTCTTTCTTCACTCTCCTTGACTAAGTACTTTGATTTATTGCAGAGAGTAATGCTTCTCAGAACAAACAGTTTTGGAATCACTCCCTATGACTAAATGATAGCAAAATGTAAATGATGAGGGTATTGAAGCAGGAAAACATAGGGAAAGGAAGAGACATTCCCATTTGCCATCTCTGTTGCTTTTCATAACTTATTTTATTCCCATGCCCCCCTATATCTTAGTTTCCTACTCATAAACTTACCAAGTTCTGAAGCTATAAAAATTCAATTAAACTGATGTAAATTGTTCAACATACCTCCTGAATAGTGAATTCTAGTACATGGTCCCTGTTGTGATAGGAATGTCATGGGTCATGTAGAATTTGAACTCAAAGAACCTTGGAATCTTAGACTGCTATTCTGCTTCTGCCTATTATCAGCAATGTGATGATTAGCAGATTCTACATTTCTTGTTGGGATGTGCTCATCGTCACATTGTAAAAAGAGGGAATATATCTTTGCTACTGTAGTTGGGAATAGAAAGAGCTACATCATCATACTTTTTGCTTGGGGAAACTAATAATATGAGTGATCATCACTGGATTCATTATAGCTTGATAGCAAACAAAAATAATAATAGCTAGCATTTCCTGGCATTTATTATATGTCAGATGCAATGGTAGTCATTTTTATATACATTGTTTTGTTTAATCGTCATTCTCATAACAATAATGCAATGCAAGTGTTACTGGGCTGACTCTGAAGATCATGGAAACTGAGACTCAGAGTACAAAAATGCCTTGATCCAAGTCACACATTGGACAATGGGACAGATGTCTTACACATAGCCTGATTGTGTGTGTGTGTGTGTGTGTGTGTGTGTGTGTGTGTGTGTGTGCGCACGTGCGCACACGCGTGTGTGAGAGAGAGAGTGTGTGGTGTGTGGTATTCATTCAGAGGGCGCCAATGACTGACTCATGCTGAGTCCCTGCTGTGGACCAATTGGTCATCACAGGCTCTCTTGCCATCTTCAGAACCTCCATGTTGGATGAGATGCTTCCACAGCCATTTCTTGGTGCTTCCCCACTGGCCCATTGTTTGTACTTCATTTGCATCTGGTGATTCAGTTCTTCTGTTTGTGAAATTTCTCAGCACGGAGGTATGAAAGCTTCTCTAAGTACTATGTAACTTGAGGAATAGCAACATCCCAAGTTCTGTAAGGAGAGCCTGGCCCTGCTAGGCTCGGTTGTCCCAGGGTGTTTAACTAGTACTCAGATATGTCAGGCCTTTCTCCACATGCAGCTTTGCCCAGACTCTCCGTCCTCTGCAGTTTCTTAATGGCAAATTCCCACTCACTCACCCCAGCCCCAATGCTCTGCTAGGCGTGCAAAGAAACTCCCCAAGCTCAGGGGTCCACCTCTCAGGCTTCTACCTCTGCTCCCCAGCTTCGGTGCCTTACACATACCTTGGCCTCCTCTGTCAGAGCAGTTATTAAAGGGGAGCAAGGAAGGACATATGGGAGGGTTTCAGAGGGTAAAGGAAGGGAATATTGCAACGTTGTAATCGTCTCCACAAATTTTAAGGTAAAAAATAAAATTAAAAATAGAAACTTTTGGGCAATCTGTATGTTAACTTTCCCTGTTTGACTGTGAGCCTCTTGAGAGAACCAGCTGCATCCTACCCACCTTCTTATTCTTAGGTGTCGCACAGAGCATGTGTGAATGTTAGGAAGTCAAAGCACTACTACAGCATGCTGGGGAAGTAAGGAGGATGGAGAAAAACTACCACGTGGGACAGAGAGGAAAGTGAAAGTGAGTCTGAGGCATCCCTGAGAACTAACTGTGGGCAGGCATCCTCTCAGGATGCCCTTGGCCCGAAGAAAGAAGCTTCAGTGGGTGTGTCCTCTATCCAGAGCATTTGTTCTCGCTGAGAAAGTGAAGAATACAGAACAAAAGCCCCATTCATTGTGTCCAAGGAAACTTCATATTCCTGGTACAATACTGCTGACAGAAAGATGTCCTTTCTAACAACACTGTCCCCTTAGTCCCCGCATCTCATGCCTGATTCTATGACAAAATCAATGTGAGTTGGCTCCAGTTTAAATATAATCATGACAACTAGCTTACCATTGTGTCAATCTCTTATTATTTCTACCAAGACTGTTCCCTTAAGCGAGTCCCCATAAGTCCTCAGAGTTTCAGGATTAGTGTAGTCTGTTTGCTCTTGTGCGCGCGCGCACGCGCACGCACGCACACACACACACACACACACACACACACACACACACACACATATATATATGCACTATATTATATAATGCTATAAACAGTCTGCCAAACGACTGTCATTAATGAATATGTATGAGGTTTTAGCAACAGACGTTTGAATTTATTCTAAATTTTTAGTATAGTTAAGACAAAAAATACCTCTAGTTCATTGTTTTTCCCTTTGTGGCTGTGGGTACTAGTGAGAATAAATTAACCTTCGCTTTCCCATACGAAGCATGGGAATGGCTAATTAACATACACAGGAAAGGAATCACCTCACACACAAGTCATTATTTCCCAGTCTCAGCCCCTGGCAGACAATGCTAAGAGATCTCTGTATTCTTCCTGACTGAGATGGGTCCTAGCCCAGAATCTCTTTCAACACAATACTCCAAGCATCCATTACCACCCAGTTGTAATGGTCCTAAGAGAATGCAGACAAGGCTTGATTATTTCTAGTGTCTCTTCTCACTGTGACGTTTTAAGGTTTTGTTTTTGTTTTGCTTTACCTTATAATGCTGCCCCTAAACTAAGATTTGGAAGCAAGTTGTACTGAGGAGAATTGGTGAGTAAAGAGTATTTCTACTTCTGCCCAGGCTGGGAGCTAAACTCTGAGTCTTAGCATTCTTCCCTTCTTTCAACTGACATAAGAGAAACGGAGCAAGGGAACAAATGGTTCCCTTTAGATGCTAACATCTAAAGAGCTCTCTGAGGCAGCTGTGATATAGTTGGATGGACACCGATTTTGTGATTAAAGTAGCCTGGGTTCAAATCTGTGCTCCACCAAGCTCCCTGTTGTGAACCCTTGACAAGTCATCTCACCCTCTGGAGCCCTGGGTTCCTCAAGCGGGAAATGGAGATAACAATGCCTACCTTACAGACGTGTTATGAAGCGTACATTGGATGAAGTAATGTATGCAAAAGTGCCTTGTAAGATACACTGTGCTGAGCGCCTGGAAAGGATTATTATTCTCAGTATACACCCATAGGAAAAAAGACTAGGGTGTTCCGTTCCAGATGGACTCAATCTAAAATGGGGAACAAATGCTTTTTTTGGTAATTTCATCTTGTGGAAACAGCAATCTCATGGGCCTATTTGTGTTTAATGAACCACATCCTGTATCGTCTTTTTGCATGGTTCTGAGAAGAAATAAGTTGGCTCTCTCTTCCGGTGTGCTGCAAAGTAGGTGTCCAGCTTATATTTAACCTCCCCCAGTCTCTCCCTACTTGCTATAAGAAATAACACTCCCTCATTGCTAGACTGACCCCACAATCATCTGCACAGAAGTCAGGACACAAGGCATAGGGAAAGGGATATTTGGCCAACATCCAGTCCTGTGCTGGTCCCAAGGAAAGAGGAATTTGTTCCAGGCTGAGCATTTTAACCCATGCTACAATTGAGAAAAATGAGGTAGACCCTGAATTCATGCACCTTGGTAAAAAAGAAGCCAGGTTTATCTGAGTCCAAATCGGTGCTATGAGATCTTCTGTAAAGTACTTTTGCACAGCAGTAGCCTTCAATCTTCCTGAAGCAGATTCTCTTTGGGACATAGCAAGAAGGCTATGTATACTTTCTTCCCCAATAAAATACAAAAAGAAAGAACACGTAGACTAAGATGTTAAGATCTATATGACTCTCCCAGGCTTATTCATTCATTCATTCTTCAACAAATATTGCTGAATGGTATCTATATGCCAATCAAGGTTAAGCATGATGCTACAAATGTTTACGAAGCAGAATGGTCTCTGCCTTCATGGAGTTTCCAGTGAGGTAACAGAGATAAACACAAACTATGAGTGTAAAGCTACGTACTGAGGTTAGTTATATGTACCCTCCTTCAATGAGAATGTAATGAAGATGCTTAACCTAGCCCCATTCTTTTTGTAAGATCTCTTGCAAAACTGGCTTTTGAATTGAGTGATTTAGACTATAAAGGTCAAAACCCAGAAGAAGGCTAAGTTTCAGAAGGAAGACAGATTTTTCTAGGACCTGAAGGAGGGTAATAAGACTGAAGGGTAGAGAACACAGGGACATATGGTGCTGAAGAGGTTGGATGGAGACAGATGGCACCTATAGGGCCTTGAGGCCATGGGAATGTGTTTAGAAGTTATCCTCAGTGCAATGATAAGACCTCCAGGAGTTTGAATCCAATGAACAACATAATAAGACCTCCCTGTTTGATCTGTGATGGTTACATTTATGCGTCAAATTGATGGAGTCATTGGAACTTAGATGTCTGGTCAAACATCCTGGGGATATGTGGGAGAGTGACTTTGAATGAGGGTCCTATTTAAACCATTGGACTGTGTGAAGCAGAGTGGCCTCTCTAATGAGAGTTGGCCTCATCTAAGCCATTGAAGGCCTCAGCAGAATAGTCAGGCTGACAACTGAGCTGGAAGAATGCCTCTTATTGGGCTGCCATCAGCTTGATGCTGGTCTTTTCTGCTTTCAGACCCGCATGTAAATATTGGTTCTTCCTTAGGGTTAAGCTGCCAACCTCCCCACTACAGCTAATACCAGCAGCCTAGAAATAAATCATCAGTTTACCTGGGTGTCCAACCTGCTAACTTCAGGTGTTGGAACACCTTAGTCTCTGTAACTGTGTGAACTAGTTCATGAAATGTATCTATGGCTATACTTTTCACTACTCTTTTTATGTGTGTGTATGTGTGGTTTTTTTTTTTTTTTGTGTGTGTGTGTGTGTGTGTGTGTGTGTGTGTGTGTGTGTGTGTGTTTCATTCTGCTGGTACTGTTTCTCTGGAGAACCCTGGCTATCATATACATCATTAGGACTGTTGTGTAGTGTGGCCTAATGTGGGGCAAGAGTAGCTTCCAGTAGGAGACTGCCGCTGAAACTCAGACAAGCCGTGGTGGCGGCTCTGGGTACAAAGGCAACAGGAAAGTGGAAACAGTGAGGGCATGCAGGAGCTATGATGGGACTTGACAGGGTTTGGAAATGGGGTAGAGGAGTAAGAGAAAAGGAGGTGCTGAGGTTTCCTAGGCCCTGACTCTGCCTCTCAATGGGTAATGGCACCATTCACTGGAATTCTAGAAAAGCACTGGGTTGTATGGAGTTGAGTTCGTGCTGCAGGAGAACAAGCAGGATAGCAAACCTCAGAGGAAGACTTGTAGCAGGAGGTATAAGTGAGGTATAGGATAAGGCCAAACTGTAGAGAACACAAAGAGTATAATAGATTGACAGAGAGATAGCCGGGAAAGAGCGGCCAGAAGGACATGGCTCCTGTCCAGCTTTACTTGTTTGGCAGAGGAAGATAAGCCTGCAAAGAAAGATGAAGAGGAGGGAGGAGAGAGCACGGGAAGATCTGGTTTCACGGAAGCAAGCACACAAACGCACCAAGCTGGAGGCAGCAGACTGTCAAATGCTACTGAAAGGTCAGGCAAGATGCGAAGAAAAAACGGCCCCAGGTTATGAAATCACTGGGGAAGTCATCGGGCACCCTGGAGGTCTCAGATCCCAAGAACAAGCCCTTTCATGTCTCCTTACATCTTTGAAGCAAGATCCCTCAGGAAATAGAGATCTCCGGAGAGTTCTCTAGTTCACAACAGCCGTGGGCCACACCTGTCAACACAAGAGGAAGTGACATTTGACTACATCTTGGTATTCTCTTCCTCACAGCCTGATGCTTGGCTCTGCCTTTCAAATAGCCAAAGACTTTTCCAAAAAGTAGCCCAGGAATATTTCAGTTGACATTCAGAAGTGCTTGGTAATTCAGATGGCAGTGCATTCCCTAGAACTAGCCTGGAAAATTATAGTGGACATAAGACACCTTTAAAAGGGATATTTATCTGTGGGGACATCTCTCTAAACCACAAATGCAAGAGAATTCAGAAACTGGGTATGTGAAGAGATTGTCCTTCCAGAGGGGACAAATGCTCAGAAGAGCTCTGCTCATGATTCCAGACTTTCTCTACTTCTTTGGACTTGGGTTTACCCTTGTCTCTCCTTTTTCCTTCTTCCTCCTTTTCTTTCTCTTTGTTCCTTCACAGAGGCTGAACAATTATTTCACATATTTACCTCCATCCACTAAAACAGAACTTTCTCCACAGAATAAAAGACAACCCTAACCTGTGAGACTGGATCCACCACGGTCTAGTACACAGGAGGAGGTGTCACAGACCCTGGTCGATTCCTCTCTGCTCTACCTCTACAGTCTCCTCTGGGTCGACTACTGTAGCTGAGCTCACTGGGTCACTGCCCACCCTAGACCAATCCGAACCGTTCCCGATCCTGTATCGACTGCCAAGCCATGTTAGTAAAGTCTCCGTTACAGCTCCTCCACACCCCAGTTCACCCCTCTGAATACACACCTGGGAACACCGTGATCTAAATGGGTAGAGGGGACAGCTGGAGGAGGATAACAATGCTCCAGCTCAGTACTAGACACATCTATCCGCTGATTTATTTCCTTATACAGACTACACAACCAGTCTGCTTGCAAATATAGAGACTGTCTCAGAGAGTGAATCAATTTGCCTATGATCACACAAGTACCCAAATGCACGCCTGCGATTTTAATGAGGGCCCAGCTGACTATGGAACTTTGTTTTATTCCCAAATGAAAGATGTTATTCATGAATGAATTTATAAACATGCAATCATAACTGAAGACTCTATATCAAGGTCACAGATAAGTGGAGAATGCAGATATCAAGGCAGGCGATGAAATAAAGCCCCATTCAGGGGAGGGGAGGGATACCGCAACATGTTTTGCAAGTATAATTCTGGGACAGGACACTCAGACCATCACATGGGCTTGGAGAAAGGCATGTGGCCATAGGCGATGGTTATAGGAACTTGACAGGCTGAACATGCTAACCTTGCTTAGGATTCCTAGCTTCCAGAGATGACTTCAGATACTCACTTGCCTTGAAGGCCCACCTTTTCCTGGATTAGGGTTGGTTCAGATCCCACTCTACTGACCTGCCTGGTCCTCCAGGCTCCTTCAGACTGGCAGAAGCCAAAGTCCTCATCTGGTGAAATATAGCTATCTGGCTGGATCTTTCCACTCATCATTGGCATGCCCAGGGGATATTATTCTGGTTTTTACTTTTCTCCTATTATAGCAAAGAAAATTCTCGGGCCCCTTTTT